CTAGACCTCTATAAATGCCCTTTGCCTCCCAGCTCTTTCCTCTATTTCCTTTGACTTTCCTCCTGTCCTACTATCATGCTCAGTCCCCACCAGAGTTTCAGCAATTCCTCTTTGTTACATTACCCTTGATCATGCCCTCCCAGGCCTTCCACGCCCACCTCACCACCGATTTGGATCACTTGTTGTTCCCTTGTCCCTCAGTTTGTTAACACCACTTCCTTTCCCCCCACCTCCCCTAATATTTGTCTTTTACATCCCTTTTTGCCCCTCTTCCCTCCCTTGTTTATAATATTATTAAGTAAGCCTTCTATCCTCTTTAGAATCACATTGACATAATTTTGTTTTAATCGTATAATTTAGAAGAGGAGCAGGAAAATCTATTTTACTTATCCATATTTTCCCTTACCATGTTCTTTCTTCCTTCTGAGTGTTCCAAGACTTCATCTTATATTGTTCCTTTCCTTCTCAGAGAACTTCTTTTAGGCTTTGCTCTTAGGATTGATCTTGGTGACACTTTCTGCTAGTTTTCCTTCATCTAAAAATGTCCTCATCCTCTGTAACACCACTTTCAGCTTAATGATAGATAGGCCTATAAAGTGGGAACAGTAATACCCAGGGGGTATGCACCCTACAGTCATCAACCAGATGACATCAGAATGGCAGCATTTGCCCAGAGATAAAATCCAGAAGGCAAGAAGGGACAGGAAAGAAGGACGATCTGAACAAGCAAATAGGGAGAACCTGGGACGAACGCTGTTGCTTTGTGGGGATCGCAGTCATGAAGCAACATGTGGATGAATTGTTGGGAAACTAAATTGCTCTGTGAACTTTCACCCAAATCATAATTTAAAAAATGTAAGCAACAAAGGATAGTTTGATAGATATAGGGAGACAAAGTCTCAATTCAAATCTCTTCCTTATTCCTGGCAGATATGTTTGCTACATATAGGATTCACCATTCTTTCAGTCCTTGAAAAATGTGCCACTTCCTCTGTCTTCCATGACTGCTGAGGAGCAGTCTGCTGTCATTCAAGTCGTTTCCTCCTTTATGAATATCATTTCTCTCTCCTCTACAAGATTTTTTTTTTGGTCATTAGTTTTTAAAAGTTTTAACTAGTCTTGTTGTGGATTTCCTTGGGCTTATACTATTTAGGGTTTATTCAGTTTTGTGAGCCTATAGTTTTCTGTCTTTTGCAAATTTAAGAAATTGTCAACCATTGTCTCTTTGAGTATTCCATCCCTACCCTCTTCTCTCTTTGCACAGTCAAATCCTTAAAGCTCTGTGTTTTTTCTTCCATTCTGTTTTCTCTCGTGTAGACTGGATGACTCTCATTTTCCTCTGTGTCAGGTTCCCGCTTGTCCTCCCCACCACACCCCGTTCTGCTTTTCATCCCGTACACTGAGCGTCTTCTTTTGGTGATTCTTCTTTCTTCCGTTGTAACGCCTCCTTTTCGTGTTCTTTACACACTCAATTATTGTTGCTGAGAGTTTGTTGGTGTTTTTTGTTGTTGTTTCAAAGGTGCTCCTAATTGCTCCCTGAAACATTTTTATCTTGCCTACTCTAAAAGTCTTTGTAAATTACTCTAACACTTACATAATTTCAGTTTTGGCATGTATTGGCTGTCTTTTTAAATTCAGTTTGAGGCTTTCTAGCCCCTGTTTTGATGAATGATTTTGTAATGAAATTTGTATGTCTTGAATATTAGGTTATGGGACTCAAAGTATTCTTAAAACTTCTGTTTTAGCTGCTTTTGTCCGACACTTTTTCCAGCAGGAAAGGTGGGAGCACCGCCTCTGTACTGCAGTTGAAAGGTTCTTACTCAGCCTCCACTAACACTCCAGGGGCTTGTGCTCATGGTGATTCCTGGGTGAATCTGGGCAGCCTGGCTACCACTAATCTTTCACTGTTAGCGCTCTCTCTGGGGTAGAAGTGCCTCATTACTTCTCTACATGGGTCCTCTACATGTAGGACTTGGAGGGAAAGCCTCATTACCAATGAGTAATGGGTGCTGACACTATGTAGACTTATGAGACCATCCCAGGCAGAGTCAGGATGCCTGGTTGAGGACGCAGGTGAGGTTGGAAGTGCATGGTCTCCATGTGGTCTCCACTGACATCACAGGGAGGCGTTTTTATATCGCTCCAGTGGTTTAGGCCTTGTGTTACAGAGGCCTACGTGTGTCTGTCAGCCTTTGCTGGCGGGAGTGGACTCGGGTTTTCTGTGGTGTGGGGTGGCAGCAGAGTGCGTCTTTTCTAAAAGTGTCCTATCTTGCTAAGATGCTACTCTCGTGATCTTTTGACTAGAGAGAGTATGGTTGGGGAGAGAGGAGGGTTGGTTTTACCTGTGCTTGCTGGAGTTTCTTGGTGGGTAGCTTCTCCAGTGCCAGGTCTTGTGCTGAAATAAAGAGAGTGCCGAGAGCACACAGTTGTGTCAGCCTCTGGTCTTGAAGTCCCTAAGCAGCCTGCCCTCTTCTCTCTTCCTTTCAGAGTCTTGTGCTTGTTTTACGTGTGATATTGAAGGGGGTTCGTTGTGTTTAGTGAGAGGAACAGGGAAAAGCACATATCTGTCATTTCAAAAGCAGGCAGTATGGTCCGAAATTATATCTAGATAGAAGTTGAATTTGATTTATATGAGTAATATATGGTTGGGTGCCTATTTTTGTTCATTTTAAAGATTAAATGCCTATAAGCAGATTATTTTGGCAGAGAAAAGCAGTTCAAAGAAATAAGCAAAAAACAGAACCACAGAATCAACTCCTGTGGTTTTTCATGAACCAAAACTTAGGCTATTTCTTGACACCAACCAAGTCTCTAATTTTCACCTCCCGGTGAATTATGTGTGTCATAATTCAAGCAATGCTCTTCTGCCGTTGGACCCATGGATCCGCTGACAGAGTGACTAACAGTGAGTGCAGAGTTTTCAGGCTTTAAGTGGTCTTGTAATCTCTAGCACGGGTCAAGTTTTCTCTTTGGGCAACTAGACATGGTAGAACTATGTAAATATGGAACAAGCATTTTATATGGCACCGAAGGGTAGGATAGTTATTATATTATGAGATATGAGAAAGAGCAAGGTCTCCATTCCATGTAATGGAGTAAATTTAAATAGTAAATTTAAACAGTACTAGCAGTAGTATGCTACAGCAAAAGATTATCACTAATGTAGGTATTTTTTTAAACATTTTTTTCTTTGTAAACTATTTGGGCCATTGAGGGTTTGAACTAATCGTTGGATTGTATTTCTTTCCTTTCAGGATAATGGTCCAGAAGACAATGAGAAGGATTTCTATGAGTCAGATGAGGAGCAGAAGGAAAGGATTGGCCAAAGAAAGAAGCCATATGCTATGGATCCAGACCATCGACTCTTAATTCGGAACACAAAGCCCTTGCTACAGAGCAGGAATGCAGCGGTAGGGTGAAACCCTTATAAGAAATAATTATAAATCTATATTAAAGGTGGTTAAATGGTCTAAGTTCAGTAAACGAAGAACAACTATTTTTGGGGTGTAATAGTGACGCTCACGGGGCCAGTTCTACCCTGTCCTATATTGAGTTGCTATCAGTCAGCATCAACTCGATGGTAGCGAGTTTAGATTTGGAATAGTCAAGCATTTTTTTTGTTTCTTTACACACCAGAAAATATTATCACCCCAAACAAAATAAGCTCCCTGCTATCGAGTTGATGCCAACTACTGTCGCCTCTCTAGGATCAAGTAGAACGCCCCTGTGATAACTCTTCAAGTGAGGTTTGTTGGGAGGTGCCATCAAGTCGCTTCCAGCCCCTAGCCACCCTGGGCACAGCAGCGGAAACACTGCCCGGTTCGGCACCATCCTCAGAATCACTCCTGCTCCCGAGCCCATGGTTGCAGCCACCGTGTCAGTCCATTTCCTTGAGGGCTTTGCTCTTTTCCACTCACTGCCCCTTCGTTTTACCTAGCGGGATCTCTCGCCAGGGCCTGGAGTTGAAAGCCTCGTCTTTCTCTCATGGAGCTGGTGGTTTTCTCACTGCTGACCTTGTAGTTAGCAGCTCAGTGCGTCACACCATGCCGTTAGGGCTTCTTTAGAAAATGTCACAGGTAGTTGAAAATACAGCAGGGCATATGAACTATGGATTTCAGAGAAGGAATGCTTAACATGTATTTCAGCCTCACATGTTACAAAGAATGTAGGGTTTGGTGGCAATACCTGCTTTGATAATCGTATGTCCAGCGGACTATATTTGCTTTTCTGTGGTTCTAGTAATTAACTTTGCTTAAGATAGGAACTCAGATTATTTCCCAGTTGATTTAGCTGGATAACCCCCTACACAAATTTATGTGTATTCCTCAGTTACTTAGTATACTACGATCATGGATGAAAGTTAATGATTTTATTTCAGTGAGAGTTAACAGTAAATGCCAGTTAGAATTCTTAAGAGACTAAGGCATAACACAAACACCTTGCATAATCCTTCACACAGTTTTAACTGGTAGTAATGGAAATTTAGGTGATCTTTATTTGTTTTGTTGTTGTTGTTGTTGTTTGTGCGTCCATTTTTTAATCTTAAACCATGCTTACATTTCAGAATACTCCATGGGCATTATTGAAAATACAGATAAGCAAAACTAAAGAATTGAAACATCACATTTCCATCACTCACAAACTACCAAATTCCACAAATCATGTAGTGCATTTCCTTGTAGATTTTTTCCTTCATAAATATACATATATTCACATGTATGTGAAACAATACATTTATTTTTTTAACCAAGATAAAAATCACACCGTATATAGTATTGTGTAACCCCCACCCCCACCCAACTCAGTTCTCTACACCTTTGTAGTTAAAACTTTTTTCATGTCATTTAATGCCAATTTATTTCAAACTACCCTTTATAGCTAGTCTATCGAATACCAAATCTAATACATTGCACCTGGTTGTTATATCTGTTGAACCTCTCAATTCTTGTAGCACGTCCTTCAGAGTTTGTTGTTTTCTTCAGTGTCAGTTTATTCTTGAATATCCTGTATTTCCTGTTTGCCAAAGGATATAGCTGAAGGTTTGGTGGATTCAATTTAAGCATGTACTTATTTTCTTGAACTGAAAAATTCTTAATGAATGTGTTAGGCTGGTTTGATCAGAGAAACAAATCCTGTGACATTCAATATGTGTAAGAGAAAGCTTTATATCAAGAAGTAATTATAAATCAAGCAAACATCCCAGCCCAGTCCAACTCAAGTCCATAAATCTGATACTAGTCCATAAGTCTGATATAATTCCTTAAGTCCCTCTTCAGACTCACGCAGCCACATGCAATGATGCAGAATGCAAGATCACAGGCTGGTGGATGCAAAGTCGTGTGGATTCAGTAGCAGGGCTTCCGGCAACCAGGGTCAGCCAGCAGGAAGGTGTGAAGGCAAAGAGAGGGGGGGAGGTTCCCATGGCCCTCCTTATGAGAAAGCCATGCCCACAAGGAGTCACCATCAGCCTGTGACCTGATTGACGGGTTGAATACCACCCCTACACTATTATATATCTTCCAGTTGATACAAAACTGAAACTAACACATGAATTTATATGATCAGCCTGTCACAGCTTTGAAAAAGAGGCAATCACTTGAATGACTTACATGCTGTCATTATGCTTTGAATTTTAGAGCTTTGGGCTTCATACTGTGCAACATTTGCTAATTGCAGAAGTTTTTATCTTACTCCTAGTAATTTATTTTTCTTCTTTTTAAAAGTTTATTTATTTATATGCAATTCATTAGTTCATTCACATCAAGTCACCACATACAGTCACCACCACAATCAATTTTAGAACATTTTTTTCATTCTTGTACTCATTGTCACTGGCTCCCCACCCTGCCCACCATACCCCCAAGGAACCATCAATCCAATTACTGTGTAGATTTACCTACCCTGGATTTCATATACAGAATTAACAAAATAACAAAGTAAAACATAGAAACCTCAATTAAAAAATAAGCAAAATACCAAATACCAGAAGAAATTTAATTGGATGATAAGGGAGATCAAATGATAGGGTGCCAAATTTTAACTAACTGCATCTGCAGCAATCCACTTTTGAATGCATTCTGCATATTAGCAGGACTATTCGCATCCCTGGTCCATGATCAGAGGGGTTCATCAGAGCTTTAATCCATGATGACACCTAGTAATGTAAATTTCGATAGATTATTTAGTGACTTTTATTGTGATACTTAAAGTATTCTTTCATCCATATGACCTAGCTTAGCTTGTCCTTAGGTGATGTCCAGCTGGTTCTGCGTCAAAGGAACCCTGTCTCCATGCGACAGAATGAAGCCCCTCCCAGTCCTGGACCTCCTCGCAACTGTGTTATCTTTGAGCGTGTGGGCGTCACTGTCAATTCATCTTTGAGCCTATTTCACTTTTGCACTGCCCTTCTACTTTAGCTTAGGTCCCTCTAAGTTTCCACTAGAAACTCTACTGCGTGATTGACTAAATCAAGACTTTTTTTTTTTTTTTTTTAAATCAAGACTTTTAACTCTTTGTTTGATAATGATATAAAACACTTTTAATGGGTAACAGGGTACTGTTTGGTACCCTGTTATATGGTGTGTGTGTGTGTGTGTGTGTATTTCTATTCCTTTCGATCTATTTGTGTATTTAAAGTGTCTTTCTTGTAAACAGCGTGTAGTTTTGATTGTGGTTTTACATTCATTCTGTCACTCTCTGCCTTCTAATTGTAGCATTTAGTCCCTTCCATTCGCACTCACTGAGAAGTGACTGCTGCCATTTTGTTATTTGTATGTGTCTTAAGCTATCTTTGTCTTTGTGTCTTATGTCTGCTTGATTTTGCAGTTTGTTGATTTATTATAATGAGCATTTTTTATTCCCTTGTATATGATTGCTTAAAAGATACATTCTTAGTGGTTCTCATGAATAAAATACAATGGGGATTCAAAAAGTTCGATTGTCTTTTAATTCATCTTTTTGGTGAACATTTTGAAACATGATATTACAGTTAAAATTTTGTATGTGTAACATTGTAGAGTATGCTGACACCAACTTAAGTAACATGTAAAAAATTATATCCGTGTATCTGTACACCATTCCTTTTCTCATCTTGCCATCACTATGTCTTTATAGTTCGTGTCTTGTAGCATAAGTTTATCCTTGCCTCTTATGTGTTTTGTTATTAAAATGCATAAGGGACAGAATATTTATATCTATCAAGCCAAAATACCTCATGTACTAGCCCTTATACTTGACTGCATTTCTTTTTATTGAGGATCTTTCTTTTTGGTATAGCTTTGAATTACTTTCTTGTGACTTTTCCCTTCTGTCTACAAGGGGGCTTGTTGAACTTCCATTTGTATGTTTTGTGTGACCAGTCTGGTAGTTAAGGAACCCACTCAGTTTTTGTTTGCTGGGAATGCTTTCCTGTCACCCTCAATTTTAAAGGATAGTTTTGTTGGGTATAATATTATAATATTCTTGAGTGACTTTATTTTGGTTCTATTCTGTATTATTTTCAGCACTTTAATTTATACCTTTTTCATTGCCTTCTGGCTTCCAGTGTTTCTGAGGGAAAATTGGCATTTAATCTGATTGGAGATCCTTTGTGTATGACTATTTGCTTCTCTGTCACCACTACTTTAGGATTCTCTCTTTATCTTTAATTTTTGAGAGCCACCACACTAGGAACCCTGGTGACGTTGAACTGGTAATGACAAAGTCAGGTCTTCAAACTCACCAGCTGCTCTGTGGGAGAAAGATGAGCCTGGCTGCTCCCGTAAAGATGTATAGTCCTGTGTCCCAACACCCAGCATCTTTAGTTAGCAGCCATTAACACCAAATGAATGAGGGGACAGGATATCCTTAATTGATCCTCAGGGAGGTTTTTTACTGTTGATTTCAGAGGATAGAGATAGGAGGTATGCAGGATTCCAGATAGAGTCTTGGTTTGGGGAACAGACTACACTGCAAGGCCCTTGTATTCACAGAAGATAATTCATAGAAGGCTTGCAAGTGATGGTGTCAGGATGGAACAGGAGGTATCACGCTCCAAAAGCATCTCTAGGGAGCTCTGTCTTCTTGTTATCAGAACCCACCCCTTAGTATGTTGGCTGTTTAAGTGTAGCTTCCCCTAAGACTGCTTGTGTCTTGGCCCCCAGCAACCTCTGCCTTCACTCCTCAAAACGGATAGAAAGGAGACATACACAGACCAGCACGGACTCCCCACAAGGCCTGCCATACTGATTTCTGAGGCCTAAGCATGGATTACACCGGGAGATAGGCCCATTGTTGACTATGATTGCAAACTCCCCGAACGAGTCATCTGTTGCAACCAGCCCTGACTGGGTAGGCCAGATAGTGGCACACTTCAAAAGGACCCTCAGAGTGGTCTGCCTTGTTTATTTAACAGAAGTCTTTGTACAGGCAGGAGCTGTGGTGGCTAGGAAAGTAGGCCGTTTTCCCAGCCACTACTACAGTTCTCAGCAGCCTGTGAGGTTCGGTGATGGGAGAAGTGATCTTTCTGTGTATGCAACCCACAGTTGATGTGTTTGCCCTTGCCTGTCTGCTCTCTGCTGCCCTTCCCTCAAAACCAAGCACTCCTTCCTTGTTGTAGTCTGGTTCCATGGGTCAGGGTAGGAATGATTGTTCATGCTGCCATCTTCAGAATCGGCTTTCGTATTTTCTAAAGTGTAACAGGTGTGTTGTTGAGTCAGCTCTGGCCCATGGCCACCTTCTGTGTGTCAGAGTAGGGACGATGCTCCAGAGGATTTCTCAGTAGCTGATTGTTCAGAACTACACCACCAGGCCTTTCTTCTGAGGTTTTCCTGGGTGGGCTCAAACTTTCTATCTTTTGGTTATCAACCAAGTGCGTGAACCGTTTGTACCACCCAGGGACTCCACGTACTAGTTGTTATTGTTGGTTGCCGTTGTGATGGCCATGCTAGCAGACGGTGACGCCACAACACAATGAAATGCTGCCAGCCTGGTCCTGGGCCATCCCCGTGATCAGTTAGGGATTGGACTGTTGAAGTCCAGAGAAATTTTGATCACTCTTAAAATGATTGGTTTTAAACCAAACACTTTAAGGATTTTTCATTTTCAAAAACAGATCATTTTAAATACTGCTTCTTCATGTGCATTGCTTTAAAAAGATTTTCTTTGTAACTTAATTGTACTGATATTTATTAATTACTTCAGCCTACTTGATCCTACTTGATTAGAAAGCATTTGCAAAGGCATGCGTATAATCAAAACTGCAGCAGCAGCTCTTGAAGACACATGGAATTTGGCATGCCCCTTTATTTCTGACACACGCTGGCTATCAGGCCTTTTGGGCAGTTCATTTGACATCTCTATTCTTTCCTGAGGACATTCCTCAGGTCTACCGTAACCAGGTGCTCAAAGTGCACAGCGTGAACACAAATCTCCTCCACAATTCAGGAGGTGTCAGACGCCTTTGTTCTTTCAGGGAGGAAGCCATCCCCTGCTTCTCTGGTCTCCTGATGGCAGTCAGCAGTCAGGTGTGCCCTGGCAAGTAGACACGTCACTGCGGTCTGCCTCCTTTTCATTTCTTTCTCTCTCTGCTTTTGATTTTGATTAATGTCTGTTATAAGCTCACCCATTGGGCGTAAGGCCCACCCTTACCCAGTAGGTTCTTGTCTCACGTCTTAACCATCTGCAAAAATATGATTTCCAAGTAAGGTCACACCTTGAGGTTCCGAGTAGATGTGGGGATCACCAGAAGCCCCCTGCAGAGAATAACAACACATTTATTTCCCAGAAATTGTCTAGAGGTTAAAGGAAATGGATGTAAAACTGTATTTGGAACTGTAAGGGACTCCAGTGCTCATAGGCCCTGCTGATTTCCTGCTCTGCGTCTAGGTGGTGATGGCAGTGGCTCAGCTCTATTGGCACATAGCCCCCAAATCCGAAGCTGGCATCATTTCCAAATCCCTCGTCCGTTTGCTTCGTAGCAATAGGTGAGTCATACTTTTTCATATGCCTTCCTATTTGTTCCCTTCTGAAGTAAATCATGAACAATATGCTCTGTCTTTCAGGTGTTTATGATGTGATTCTGACTATATTTTATTGATAAGACTTCATACTAAAGGGGATTGTCATAATAGCCTTTATACAATGTGTCTCAAGCTTAATGATAATAAATATTGAAAAATGTTTTTAACTTCAAGTTCTGAGGCCTTGAAACTATTTTGTGACCTCTCTCTCTCTCTCTCTCTCTCTCTCACACACACACACACACATGCGTGCATTTATTATTCGCCGTAATCCAGACTGACTTAAATGTTTGTTATTTCTTGATGTGATGAGCTGTTAACTGGTTGCTATTTCTAGGTGTGACTGTAGTTGTGAGTTCTAGAAAATCTCGAGTCATGGAAAAGATGGAAGCCGTGTTAGATTCATTCACTCACTGTATTACATATAATGTATAATGAAGCAGTACATAACTTAAAGTATATAGTTGATGAAAAATGCATATGAGGGGACATAAATTATCTATGTCAACAGGAAAGGGACTCAAACAGCTTTACTGTCGGACAGAGATTATTGTGAACTTGATTATGGTGGATTGAACCATGGTATAACATGATACTTGGTCAGTTGGCCTCCTCTTGACCAAACCTTAATTTGCTGTAGGCTCAAATGTTTCTCACTTGTTCAATGAGAGAAATGTCTTCTTTGCCTTTTAAAATATGGTTGGCAGTCTTTTCTCCCTTGCTCTTTATTTTTATTCTTACCTTCACATTATTATAATTTTCTTTCTGCTTTGTTTTTGTTTTTTATTGTTTCTGTTAGGTCCCCTAGTGTATGAGTCACAAAAGGAGTGGATGCATAGAGACAATAATTGATGCAATTTTTTACCAGGGCAATGGGCTGGGGAAGGTGAGGGGAATAGGCGCGTAAACCGTGAATGCAGACAGTGGGAGGCGGGAGGGAGCTCTAGACCTGATTGTGATGATGTGTCTACAACTCTTTTTTAAAATGACTTAACTATGGAAGTGTATGATACGTGAATTTTATATCAAGAAAACTACTAAGAAAAAGAAACCAAAGTTGACCAGTGGTTACCTTGAAGGATGGTGAAGAAGGGAAAGTTTTTGCAAAGAGAGTATTGAGTTTATGTTAATGGTGATGGAATAATTTGGAAAAGGACATCCATGGTGGTTGCCCAACACAAAGAGGTGGCACTGAATTATACATGTAGAAGTTGTTGACTTGGAGAATTTTTTGTTATGTATATTATTGCACAGTCTTTTAAAAAACCAATTATACGTATAACAATGAGCACAAGGAAGAAGGAAATGCTATAAAACTGATTGTGGTAATGATTACACAACTCTGCCTGATTTGTAAGATATGTGAATGAAGTGCCAATAAAACAGTTTGTAAATAATGTTTGTTTCAAAATGGATTAACGATAAAGAATTTTTCCTATGAACGATTGAAGCTCCATTGTGTTTAATTACTGCAGTTTGCTCTATTTTAAAAATATATATATAATTTTATTTGGGGCTCGTACAGCTCTTATTACAATCCATCCATCCATCCATTGTGCCAAGCACATTTGTACATTTTTGCCATTGTCATTCTCAGACATTTTCTTTCTACTTGAGGCTATCAGCTTTCTTTCTTCTATCAGCTCCTCATTTTTTCCCCTCCCTCCCTGTCACCCCCTCCCTCACGAACCCTTGATAATTTGTTATTATTTTGTCATGTCTTACACTGTCCGACGCCTCCCTTCCCCCATTTTTCTGTTGTGTGTCACCCAGTGAGGTGGTTATATGTAGATCCTTGAAATCAGTTCCCCCTTTCCACCCCACGTTCCCTCCACCCTCCTGGTATCACCACTCTCACCGCTGGTCCTGAAGGGATCATCCTCCTTGGATTCCCTGTGTTT